TTTTTTTTTCGGAACACTGGGGATTGAACTCAGACCCTTGCGCTTGCCAGGGAATCACTTATTCTACTGAGCCATCTCCCCGGCCTTAAAATATTTTAAATAGTTCAGTGAAAAGACATCAAAAAACAAGAGTTTCATTAGAGAAAATTTTGTAATTTGAATTGACAAATACTGTAGTTTTCAAAAATTGTACTCATAAGAAATTTATTTAATAACTACTAATTTATAAAAACGTCATTGCGGTAGATTATGGGTAACAGCATTGAATACAGGATTCAAATAAGTCCTGCTCAGGCAATTTGTCAGATTGTCTAAACACTTACATTAAATAACTTGATTTCATATTTAACAGCTAGCATCTAGAACAATATACTAAAATACTGAGTTGAAAGAAGACTTATGAGAAAGGTAATAGAATTCTTCAGTAATTGTAAAGACAAGCAGCTCCCTCTATAGTCTGTTTGGCCTACTTTGTTCATGTAATTTGTCAGACTGACTAAACACTTATGTTCAATAACTTGACTTCATATTTAACAGCTAGCATCTAGAACAATATACTAAAATATTCACTGAATTCAAAGAAGACTTATGAGAAAGGTAACAGATTCTTCAGTAATTGTAAAGACAAGCAGCTCCCTCTATAGTCTGTTGGGCCTACTTTGTTTAATTACTTGCTTTGTGACTATCTCACACTCTTTTATTTACTCCTACTCTGCATCACAGCAGGGAAGCTCTTTGAAAGTTTAATTCTGTTTAACCTAGTGCTGAGAAAACTGAAAGAGCTCTCTAAACTCAGCATAAAGGGTGCTACACTGCACAATTAAGCAAGAGTAGAGAAACAGGAATTGGACAATGTACAAATTCCACCTGAGTTCTGGTCTCTATATGAAGACGCAGGACTTTGTATGACATGAGTCCCACAGTGGTCATACCCATATTCAAATCTGAATGAAAAAAACATTGTCCTATACTTTACTCAAGATCTCATTTGTTTCCTCTAAAACCAGTTACTAAAATGTCATTCTGAAAGAAAGAGATAACCATTTTTTGTACAAAGATATTGCTCGATACATAGGTCAAAATAAAGTTCATTATTTTTTAAATGAAATAAAGCAGAGGTTTCCATTCTTTGAAAAACAAATCCATCACTCACATGCAGAAAATTTCAGCAATTCCCTTAGGAATTCTCAGTCAGCAAGGGATTAAATCAATCAGCCAAGACATATCATTCAAAAAAAGTTGTAAATACCTTTTCAAATCTCACTATTTCAAGATATGGACACCTGAAAGCCTAAGACACTTGATTTATTAATACATTACTCAAATAATGTCCCCAAAACACAGGACAAGCAGAAGTCAACTGGACTGTTTCCTAAAGCAGAAAAAACCATCTCATCAACACAAAAAACTAGTAAAAAAGGAAAAAGTATTAATCTAATCCGTTTACAATTACACAGTTCTAAAATAGCTACTTCGAGAGAATTTGTCCATTGCCATTTTTCAGGACCTTCTTTATAAAGCAAACTCAACTTAAAAACATCTTTTCTCCAAACCAAGGCAAAGAATTAAGAATTTCAAAATTTTACATATGAAAGAATGAAATTTATGGCGCTGTATATAACACTAGTTTATTGTTGAGAAATTTTCAATAACTTATTAATAAAGATGTGAGTATCATTTATATTTTCAAATATTATACTTGTCTTCATTTAAAATTCCACCATTCAGACTTTTACTTAACCTAGTTTGGTCTGATTTTATTTGATGGCCTGGACTGATTTTCTTCGAGACAATTCAAAAGTAGACTATACTAGAGTTTTTGCTTTTAATTTACACTAATTTCATTAAGAGTATCTTGACATACTAAAAATGCTGGTTTGATTTCTGAAAACTGTAAATTCTAAATGTATGTCATATACTGTCATTTTTTTCTTGTTGAGTTAATAAAAATATTTGTTACAAATCTGTAATCTATACAGCAAATTCAATTTAATAATCTTAATGTTAAATTTGGGAAGCTTTGTATCAAGATTTGCATCAATGTATGCATAAAAAGTCTCACTTTTTTGTTCATTTACACTACACATTTCAAGGTACACCAAAAAAAAAAAAAAAAAAAAAGTTTGGATTTTTTTTTTCCCCCAAGGAAGGACAAGTGAGATGTCTAAGAAGAAGAAATATTCCTCATACTTCACGTGTGTTTACTTTTACTATTCAAGAAACAAAAGTATATCAGATTATTTTTAAAGAATGTTGTCTTACATAACAATTACTGCTGAAAAGACTGAAAATCACTCAGGAAAGACTGTAAATTGGGTTACTGGTTACTGAAAAGTAACCCAAAGCATATGTAATTTAATACACAGAAATGCCACAATATAGCCTATTAGTATATTTGAAGTTTGGAAATCTAGCCAAAAAGATGAGTATCAATTTTACATCTCATCCTACCTCTGCATCTGATATGAGAACACAGTATGTAACTCTGAAACTCCAATTAGAAACAAAGACAGCACAGCTCTATAGAAAACCTATTCTTCAAAACACTTTAATGCATGTTTTTCAGCCAAGCCTCAAGTGTTACACTTTCTACAAATTGTGAAAAGCACTCAAACTTCGATCTTTCAAGGATAACTGCATCAAAATCTTTCACAATTTTAAAAAAGAAAATTTAGCAAATCTCAAACTGACATTTCTAACGAAGAGAATTTAGATTAAACGATAACTGTCTGGAAAGAGTGCTTGTATTTGGGGAGCCGCTATTATCTTGGTGGTCCACAGAAACTGACTACTGCAATAACAAAATGAATGGTGATGAGAGCAAGGCGCATCAAGTGGGAAATGCTATCTAAAATCCCTTGGGCAATACATAACTAAAGTACGAGCATTCTTTCCCAGAAGGCAGCTTCATTATCCCATGTAAGCAGTTCAAAACACGAAAAAAGCAAAATAGTTCTTTAAACGCCTTGTAAAGCTGGTCACTATCTTACATTATCCTCCCCCCCCCAAGAGCTTTTGAGATGTCGCTTCTGCCACGGCTGTCTCCCCCACCCCATTTCTTCTTAAAAATAAACCTGTATTTTAAATGGAATTCTACAACTCAGCCTATAGACACTTAAAAACCACTTAAGCTGCTGTGGTTCCTAATAAATTCACAATAGGTGTGATGTCTCACACTGGACAACATAAACACGCATTTCCTACTTCCAAGGCTACACGATCTCGAAAAGCATTTGCACCTGAGAATGTCGCCCATCCACAGAGGTATAAACTAAGCACTCGCAGCAGAGCCACATGGTCACTTCATTGAGGAAGATTATCTGGACCCCGGCGCCACTCTCTCCAGCCTACTGCACCCCCGGAAGGGGCAGAGGAGAGCGAGGGTGAGAAAAGGCGGCCTGGAACGACTGACCACAGAGCTGACACTTCCTCTGCTCTCCAGGCCACCTCCACACAGGGGCACCTGGAACACGCAGATGTCCGGGGTCCCACCGGCGCTCTGTTCACAGGGACACAGAGTGACCACCCGGCCCGCATACCCCGACGACCGCGGGGCTTGCACCCCCAAAAGCAGCTACAGCCCCGACCGCCGCTGCCGCCGCACGCACTATAAACACGGCGCTGACCGGCTCCCCGCCCGGGGGAAGGAGGCTCGCAAGGACCCACATTTCGGCGCCTCTTGTCATGCACGGGAGAAAGGCGAGCAGAGGGGAAAGAAGACGCAGCGGCGACTCACCGCGAGGGCCGGCGGCGTGCGCGCGGGTGCACGGCGGGGAGGACGCCCCGTGCCCGCCGGCTCCCGCTCCCGCCCGCGCCCGGCGCCCGCTCACCTGCCGGGGTCGCTCCGAAGACTCGCACCACCGGCACCTTCTTGACAGGGACCTGCGTGAGCGGGGATTGGCAGATATCCAGCCCCTGCAGCGGGCTGGCCATGTAGTAGTCGACAGTCACTATCCTCACTGAAAACATGTTCACCGCCGCCGCCACCACCTTCTCTTCACGGGCGACCCGGTGGCGGCGGCTCCCTCCGCGGCGGCGGCGGCGGCGGCGGCTCCCTCCGCAGCGGCGGCG